GCAATTTCTTCAAATAAGACAATAATGAAATTCACTGCGTTGATCACCTCTTCCTTTCACAAAAGATTTCTCTGTAGCTTGTGATGCTGTTTGATAGCATTGTACCCACAGTAGAATTTCTTTCAAAATAGAGGTCAGTCCTCTCCAGCCCTGCTGCTTTATCAACTAAGTTTATGTAATATTTTAAATCTTTGTTGTCATTTCAGCAGTGTTCACAGCATCTTTACCAGGAGTAGATTTCATCATGAAAAAACACTTTGCTAATCCATAAGAAACAACTCTTCATCTGTTAAAGTTTTATCATGAGATTATAGCAATTCATTTACATCTTCAGGTTGTACTTCTAATTTTAGTTCTCTTGCTGTTTCCACCACATCTTCAGTTACTTCCTCCACTGATGTCTTGAACCCCTCCAGTTACCCATGGGGGTTTAAATCAACTTCTTCCAAATTCTTCTTCATGTTGATATTTTGACCTCCTCACGTGAATCATGAATGTTCTTAATGGCATCTAGAATGGTGAGTCCTTTTCAGAAGGTTTTCAATTGCCTTTGCCCAGATCCATCAGAGGAATCACTATCTATTTTAGCTATAGCCTTATGAAATGTATTTCTTAAAAATAATACGACGTAAAAATTGAAATGACTCCTTCATCCATGGGCTGCAGAATGTATGTTGTGTTCGCAGGCACAAAAACATTAATCTCTTTGTATATCTCCATCAGAACCCTGAGTAACCAGGCTCATTGTCAATGAGCAGTAATATTTTGAAAGGAATCTTTTTTTCTGAGCAATAGTTCTCAACAGTGGGCTGAAAATATTCAGTAAACCATGCTGTAAAGAGATATGCTGTCATGCAGGATTTGTTGTTTCGTATATAGAGTACAGGCAGAGTAGATTTATCATAATTCTTAAGGGCTGCAGGATTTTCAGGATGGTAAATGAGCATTGGCTTCCACTTCAAGTCACCAGCTGCATTAGCTGTGACCAATGAGAGAGTCAGCCTGTCTTTTGAAGCTTTGAAGCCAGGCAATGGCTTTTCCTCTCTAGCTGTCAAAGTCCTAAATGGCATCTTCTTCCAATATAGCGCTGTTTTGTCTACATTGAAAATCTTGTTTAGAGTAGCCACCTTCATCAGTGATCCAAGCTAGGTCTTCTGGATAACTTGCTGCAGCTTCTACACAGCACTTGCTGCTTCACTTTGCACTGTTATGTTGTGAAGATGGCTTCTTTCCTTAAACCTCATGAACCAACTTCTGCTTGCTTCAAACTTTTCTTCTGCAACTTTCTCACCTCTCTCAGCCTTCATAGAATTGAAGAGAGTTAGGGCCTTGCTCTGGATTAGGCTTTGGGTTAAGGGAATGTTGCAGCTGGTTTGTTCCTTAGTCCAGATCACTAAAACTTTCTCCATATCAGCAAAAAGTCTGTTTGGCTTTCTTATCATTCGTGTGTTCACTGGAGTAGTACTTTTAATTTCCTTCAAGGACTTTTTCTTTGCATTCACAGTTTGTCTAAATGGCGCAGGAGGCCTAGCTTTTGGCTATCTTGGCTTTCATCATGGCTTCCACACTAAATAATTTCTAGGTTTTGATTTGATGTGAGAGATGAGGGCTGGCTGGTTAGCTCAGTTGGTTAGTGTGGTGCTGGTAACACCGAGGTGCAGAGTTTGATCCCTGTACTGGCCAGCCACCAAAAAAAAAAAAGAAGAAGAAGAATATAAAGTGTGAGAGAAATTTGACTCCTCCTTTCACTTGCACAGAGAGACCATGGTAGGATTATTTATTGGCCCAGTTTCAATATTGTGTCTCAGGCAATAGGGAGGTTCAAAAAGAGGGAAAGAGATGGGGGATGGCCAGTTGGTAGAGCAGTCCGAACACACACACACAACACTTATGTGGGCATAGTTCATGGTGCCCCAAAACAATTACAATAATAACATCAAAGATCACAGATCACTATAACAGATACAATAATAATGAAAAAGGTTGAAATATTGCAAGAATTACCAAAATATGACATAAAGTGAGCACATGCTGTTGGAAAACTGACATAGATATATAGACTTGCTTGATGTAGGGTTGCTGCAAACCTTCCATTTGTAAAAACAAACAAACAAGCAAGAAAACACGGTATCTGCCAAGCACAATAAAATGAAGTGTGCCTGTATTATCTTCTAGAAGTTTTATAGTTTTGTATTTTACATTTAGATCTATGATCCATATTGAGTTAATTTTTGTGAAAGTTATAAGGTCTGTGTCTAGAGATTCATTTTTTTTTCATTATTTAATCATTATTTAATGATAAATGGCTCAATTTATCAAGACGACAAACAATTGTAAGTATATATGCACCCGACATCAGAGCAACTAAATATTTAAAGCCAATATTAATGGACATAAAGAGAGAAATAGACAGCAATACAATAATAGTAGGGGATTTTAATATCCCACTTTAAACATGGACAGGTCAACCAGACAGAAAATTAATCAGAAAATACTGAAATTGAACTGCACTTTAGAAAAAATTGACCTAAGAGATATACACAAAACTTGAAATGCACCAGAGAAAGAATACATATTCTTTTGTAGTACACATGAAACATTCTCCAGGATAGAGCATGGGGTAGGCCACAAAAAATGTCTTACCAAATGTAAGAAGATCAAAATCATATCAAGTATTGCCTCTGACCACAATAGCATGAAATTAGAAATCAATAACAGAAGGGATTTTGGAAAATTCACAAATATGTGGAAATTGACCAACATGCTCCTGACCAACCAATGGGTCAAAAAAGAAATCAAAAGGGAATTTAAAAAATACCTTCAGACAAATGGTGATGGAAACACAACGTACCAAGACCTATGAGATGCATCCAAAAGCAGTTCTAAGACTGAGGTTTATAGCAATAAATTCCTACATTAAAAAATGTAGAAAGATCTGCCCCAAATAAACTAAACTTAGCCCTCAAGGAACTAGAAAATGGGCAAGCTTATTCAAAAGTTCGTAGAGAGAAGAAAGGAATAAAGATCAAAACAGAAATAAGTCAAATATAGAAGAGAAAAACCATGGAAAAAAAGCAATAAGATGAGGGTTAAAAAAAAAAAAATTGTGAAATCCTTGGCTAGACTAAGAAAAAAAGAGAGAAGATTCAAATACATAAAATCAGAAATTAAGATAGAGACATTACAATTGATGCCTTAGAAATAGAAAGGATCCAAAGGGACTATTATGAACAGTTTTATGCCAACAAAGTTGATAACCTAGAGGAAATGGATAAATTCCTAGAAACCTGCTTACCAAGGTTGAATCAGCAAGAAATAGACAGCCTGAACAGACCAATAACAAACAGAGAGAATGAAGTAGTAAATAAAAAACTAAAAAAAGAAAGGCCCAGAACCAAATGGCTTTCCAGCTGAATTCTACCAACTTTCTTTTTTAAAGATGAGAGATTCATTTTTTGCATGTGAATGTCTAGTTGTTCCAGCACCATTTGTTAGATATGCATTAACTTTTTAAAAAAATATTTAATCTAACTTGTTTTTAGTGTTTACATGTATCTTTTTCCTTTTATGTTGTTGAGCCCTTACGTTTGAAGTGTCTCTCTTGTAAATAGCATACAGTTTGGTTTTTTTTAACCCAGTCTAATATCTTAATCATGGTTCTAGTCCATTCACTTTTAATGAGATTACTGATAGTTCTTTTTACTTATTCAGCATTTTATTTTATTTTTTATATTATTTTAAGCAGCCATCTTGCCAAAATCACTTCTTGGTAGTGAAGATAATTTAGGAAGTTTAAGTAGGCAGGTGAATTTACAAAATTTTATCTTTAAAAATTAAGCAATTTTAAAATGACTGGATTTTCTATATCTAGAATAGATGAGTTAGTTTGATTCATAGTCTAATGATAGGACAGATTATACAAAGTTGAAACTATATAAGAAAATCCAGGACATATGTTTATCATTGCAGGGCTCTACCATGTCATGGTGATATGTTTTTGTTGGAATTGCTTTTTTAAAAACTACGTGGTGCTGATAACACCAAAGTCAAGGGTTCAGTTCCCCACACTGGCCATCCACCACTTGCCCCCCCCCCCCCAAATTGTTCACTTCCTAAAAAAATATTTCTTGAAGTTTGGCATGTTACAAAGCATTTTTGTGCCACTTGTATGTATAACTGACAAATTCTGAGTTGTAGTTTCAATGCTGAAATGTCACAGTTACTCAGAAATGCTAACGATTTATATGGATATAAGACAAAACATTTGAAATGGCATTGTACTAGAAAATCCAAGATTTATTTTTACTGTATTTTTTTTTTTCATTCTTAGTATAATATGTACCATCTTTTAGTCTTTTTATGTTCTAAAAGGAACATGTTTCCCCCTATTCAAAAGTATTTTATGTTCATTGTAGGCAATTTGGAAGACAAAAAATAACTGAAAGGAGAAAGTTAAGAGTGTCCTTAAGTCCGTCCCTGAGCTATAACCAAAGTTATTAGAATTTTGGTATATTTCCTTAGAGGCTTTATAACTGTGTTTATTTAACTTACAAATATATGTGCATGCTGGCATGCTTGTTTTGAACTGTTTTCTGTCTTACATTTTCCCATGTCATTTTTATTACCAGGAAGGTACATGAGGGAAAAGGATGTGACCACATAATTGAGAGTGCACAGGATTCAGATAACTTGGAAAGTTAGGGGCAAAGCATACATTCTTTCCTCCAAGATTCTACTTTCCAGCCTCTCAGTACCAGATTCTTATTTCCCTTATATATATTGGCATGAACGTATTGTTAGTAAAAAAATGAAGATTATTGATAGTTTTAATTTGCCTAATAATTCACCAACATTATTATATCAGAATGATGTCTGAAAAGGCATAGTTAACCCTCTTTCTTTGTAATCTTTCATAAAGTTATCAGCTATTAATTAGATGACTTGAAATTATATAAATAATACATTATTAATGTCTAAGGTAAAGGACCTTTTCCTTCTAGATTCCTTTCTACGAAACCGTTCAAGTTCTGATCATGAAGCTACCGCCATGATGAAAGCTCAGTTTATGAGTCTCTGGGATGGATTGGATACTGATCACAGCTGCCAGGTATTTGAACAAAATCTGCCCTCAACTTGTGGTGTTTTTATTGTTAATAGAAATTTGGTGGGCTACTTACACCTTTGTACAAAAGTTTATTTCATAATTATTTATACATATCATTAAGTGATGAGGATCTAAAAGAATATGGTTTGTACAAATCTCATCCATTTTGAGGGCTTCATGTTTAACAAAATGTTAATAGATTGCCTAAATGCCTGAAACAGATGCAGTGGGAGAGTGAAAACTAGGGTAAAACCTTTCCTTGGAATTTTCTGAACCTCTCTGCCAAGGAAGAGGAAGTGGCTTGTGGTTGTGAGGTATGGTGTGCCTGTTTCTTTTTTGTTATTCTTTCTGTTTTACTTGACTCTTACTTTTGACTCTTACCATAATTCCTTACAGCTTTTACTCTCAGTTCTATTATCACTTATCTTATTTTCATTTTACTGTGTTAATTAGTTGTTGAAACTCATGTACTCTCTCACTGCCACGCGTGCTTTCTTTTAGATCCCAATTTTATACTAGACAGTCTTCTATCTTACGCTTTGTCTCTTCCCCTCACATGGCTGTAAAAACCACAGCTAAGTTCCCTTGTTATGCTTCCAAAGGAAAAACCAGCTTTATTGCTTTATCTTTCAGTTTTTCTTTTTGGGTTCTCAGTTTCACTGGTTTTTGGCCTCTGAATATTCCATACTTTCTTTTAAGCTCAATGATGTAAACTTTTATTAATTTTAAAAGAAAGTTAAAAATTTTTTTATCTAGCATGTTTGTTTTTTCTGCCATATAGCTGGAAGTGGAAGTCCTACAACCATTTTTTCAGGTTATTTTTTTTTAAATGAATCACTTATATCTCATGGAAAAGTTAACAGTGTTCTTTTGTTTTTTTAACTTCAGTGTAGGCATTTTCTGTTTTGTAGTCTGTTTTACCTATTCAAAAAACATTATACTCAGAATCACACCTTTCAGTCACTTCTTAAAAATTTGGCTGTTTTTTCTTCAGTTATTGTTTCTTCTCCATTCCCCAGGTTTTATTTCCTAGAATGGCAGTTTGATGTATGTAGGATCTTACTTATATTCTGTCTTTTAACTTGTCTTTCAAATTTTCTGTCTCTTTGTGCTAGATTCTGGGTAATTTCTTTGCCTCTTCCAGTTTGATAATTCTAGGTTCAGTTGGAGCTCTTCTCCTATTTAACCCTTTTATTGAGCTTATTATTTCAGTTATTATGTTGTTCAGTTCTAGAAATTCTTATAGATTGTGTTTCAAGTCTACCAGGTCAATTTTGATAGGTTCTTTCCAGTTACTGATGTTTGCAATTGCATTAAAAAACCAGAGCCCTGGCATCAACTAGCTGTGTAACTGACCTTGGTCAAATTTTGTAATCAGTCTGTTTTTATATATATAGTGGGAATAATATTTGTAAAAAGGGAAGAATAGTATCCGTCTCAGAATTGTAAGGGATTACTCTGGGTAAAGAGCTTGTAACAGTGCCTGGCATATACTTATTACGTAAGGATTTGCTATATGGTTTTTTGATTTCATATTCCTTTAAATATTTTACATAGTAATTTCATAGTCTGTTTTCAGTAATTCTAACATATAACTGTATATATGGTTCTGTCATTTGTTATTTGAGTTTATAGGGTGTGTTTTGTGATTTAGTGGGAAACTCATATTTGGTAGAACTTTGTATGTGAATTCTTTGGAATCTAGGTTGAAGGTTTGTTGCTCTAAGGAGATTTTATATTTGCCTTCTGCCAGATTTTTTTTTCCCTGCAAAACAAATTTGATATCCATGTTAGCTGGACATAAGCCGGGGTTGCGATTTTGGTATTATAAGGCTGTGCTCTAACCATCCGAGCTAACCAGCCAGGCCTATTTGAATTTTTAAAATACTTGATTATTTTTATATGTTTTATAGCCAGAGGGTTTAAGGGTCTCTTAAGTCCACCACATTACCATAAATCAGAAGTCTGAACCACAACATTCTCAAGAAGATAATTAAGCCACATGTCTTCCTTCTACATTACCTTTATGAAAGTATAATTTTATTAACTTAGGAAACAGCCATTAGCTTTTGTTGAATGGTTAAAGAGAAAACACAACACACATAAATTTAGGTGACATTAATAGAAACATTTTCTGTTAATAATTAGTTTTAATAAATGTGTGGGATTTATCACTGGAAGTCATTTACAGATTGCCAAAAACTAATTATCCTCCTAAGCAATGGTATTTACAATACTTAGACAATTGGATAGTCTGTGTAAGAGAAAATATTTTAATAGTATACCCTATCAAAGTATAGTGTTCAGCTGTTTAAAGCAAAGGACATAAAGGCAATTGGGTGAAGTATTCTACAGAGCCACTTCATTCAGAGCTCCACAACATGGTTCTGGTACAGCACAACTTAAAACTCAGTTTTCAGATGTGTAATTTCCTATTACACTAATAGCAATTACTGTTTTCATTATGATGAGTTGATTTGATCTAGAAAATGGAGATGTTGCTTTTTTATTAAACACTATTAACTTTTTTTAGCCTTTATTGTGTGTTGAGGGGATTAAAACTAATATTATTTATTTTTATTTTTTTGGCAACTGTCTGGTACAGGGATCTAAACCCTTGACCTTGGTGTTATTAGCACCACACTCTAACCAAGCCAGCCTCCAATATTATTAATTTTGAAAAATAGTTTTAGATATGTTCTACTTCCATATGAGCCAGTTAGCTTTTCTCTAGAATTTTCTTTTCTGTGACTAGAGCCTAGAGCCTTAGCTAGCTTTCTTGTTAGTGTGATATGGTCACAAAAGGAACAAAAATAGTGAATGACCCAATGAAACCCATCACTGTTAACTGGAAACCTTAGTAACTGGTGACATATTCTTCATCTTAAGAGACATGAAACATAAAAGATAACTGTGTTTTTAGGCTATTGACAGAGTTAAAGTTCTGAGGCATAAATTTAGATCTGATTATTTTAAATATGAAATGATAAAAAAATTATCTTTTTAAATACAATCTTGTGTTTGGGTTAAATAGTCCTATAATCAAAATATTAATGTTCGGGGCCGGCTCAGTGGCGCACTGGAGAGTGCACCGCTTGGGAGTGTGGCAGCGCTCCCGCCGAGGGTTCAGATCCCATGTGGAGACCGGTTCCCGCTCACTGGCTGAGCGAGGTGCGGGCACAACACTGACGGTTGTGATCCCGTTGCCGGTCCCCGGTACGGGCGCGACACCGAGGGTTGCGATCCCGTTACCAGTCAGTAAAAAAGACAAAAAGGAAAAAAAAAATATTAATGTTCGTAAAGCATTACACAAAGACTTAAAAAAGGTTTAACAACTACTACCTAAAAAGAGCATTGAGTTTGTTGCTTAAGGACTAAAAAATTACTGTTGCTTCCCACTTTGAATTTTAGCTCATTTGTACTAAATAGATTTAATATATGTGTAAAGGTGCTCTGTTTTTGCCCCTTAAAATTACTCCTTAAAATTTGCCTTTTTTTAAGTGAAATTACAAATGATTTCACTTACTCTTGCTTTTTTCATCATGAATGTCTGTTGTTAACCTGTACAGGCTCATTAGACCATGTTGTGCTAGATTTACTTGGATTCTTTGATTCTGTTTTCTAGCATTTCATCTTTCATACTGGGTTTTTTATTGCAGTTTGTTTTGTTTTAGGCTATTTGTTTACCTGGAGTGTTTCTGGAAATACACCTTGTTTTTTATTTTGTTTTCAAGTATTGCCTCAATCACAGTGCCTTTTGTGATTCCTTACAACTGGATGTAATCAGACTTCCACAAGCTTCAATATCACTTTGAATTTCTTTTTTTAAAAAAAATTTATAAAGAAAAGAGGTTTATTTGGCTTACGATTCTGGGACAGCTGCATCTGGCATGGGCCTCAGGCTGCTTCTATTCATGGTGGAAAATGGCAGGCAGCCGGCGGGTACAAGCAGATCACATGGCAAGAGGAAAGCAAGATCTGAATCTCTTTTAACACTTAATATACTCAGTATCAAAATGTCCTTATTTACACTTATCCATTATCTTATGCAGTTAGTTCATTTGATCACTTTTAAGGCTCGTTTTCTATTTGGTAAAATTTTTCCTATTTTTATTTTATCAAGTTAGAGCAAATAAAGAAAAACAGGTACGAGCATTAATATTTTGATTATAGGACCACTTAACCCAAATGGAAGATTGTATTATATTGTAGAACTAACATTTCTCAAATTTAAGTTTGCATTTATATTTTCTTCCTCTAGGTGGCAAACTGTCACAGTTAATTGAAAGTAATTTGGGTCTGAGGCTCTTGAATATCATTAAATGCAAAGAGTAGAAGTAGAATGCAAGATTTGGTGGATATTTTAACATGTTTTGGAGTTAAATTTTAGATTATTTCAGAAATCTAAACTCTCTTAGGCAGAAATGAAATAGCATTAGAGAAATATGTTTCCATAGAATACTAGTAAATTTTATTTTGGTTAGCAGATATGTGCTGTTACTGAGTTATGTTCAATTATCAATAGTAATGGTAATATTGATGTCCTTCAGAATTAACTTCTGTGTATCTTTGCCTTTATTCATGTTGATTTTTAAAGTTGACTTTTTGTTACTCTCTGTATTGTTTATAAATAAGCAACATAGACCTAGAAGTTGGCAGAACCACCAGCATTTCTTTTTTTTTAAAATTCTATCCAGCATTTTGATGTTTGCTTTTACTCTGTTGCCTTTGTTTAAAGTTGTATTCCCATACCGGCAAGCCAAAAATGAATAAATGAATAAATAAATAAGGTTGATTGCTTGAGGTTTTATTTAGCATTGAGAAGATACCACCTATAGTGCTGATAGTGCCATGAGATAATGACGTGAAATCTAGAGAAAAAGTACATACTATCTATTATCATTAACCAGAATCCTTAGACTTAAGCAGAAAGGATTCTCTTAATGATATTTTTAAAGTACTGGAAGTATTCCCCCGTAATACTCCCAAACTATAACATAAATGGCTTTCAGTCATTCAACATGTGTTCATTAAGCAACCATATTTTGCAAAATGCAGTAGTTTTTTTAAACAGATCTTTATGATTCTTCAATAAAGGTACTTTCAACTAAATAGTACATATTTTAGTTACTACAAAGAAGTCCAGTGAAATGCATTAGTCTTTCCAGTTTTGCTGTTATTTGGTCTATCTAGGAGTAACGTGCTTGTATGTATAAATATTTGAGTAGTACCAATTAAAATCAGATTTCTTTATAAAGGATTTAGTTTAAACACTACTTAATTTTCTATATCTTCTAAGCCCTAGTAATAATGACCTCAAAAGAGTACTATTGCTAGATTTGATACCTTCTGTTTTTTTGTTTTTTGTTTTAATTTATATTTAGGTCATAGTGATGGGAGCTACTAATCGTCCTCAGGACCTTGACTCGGCTATAATGAGAAGAATGCCTACAAGATTTCACATCAACCAGCCTGTAGGTGATCTTGATTGATATTATGAACAGTTAAATATTCAGCTTTTTATGGATCTTCACCTGTGATTTTAAGAAGGGAATATTTTGTTTTATAGTACTTATGAAGGCAGGAAGGAATTGGCAAGAAATCCCACAGCTGCATCTTTGTCCTTTCCACTCTTTTCCTTGCTTTTTTCTTATTTCTGTCCTAATATTAGTGTTAGTTGCTTCTCTTCAATATATGTAGTTACCTCAAGTTTGCCTTGCTGCTTTAGTGATTTACTTTAGGATATAGCAGGTTATCTGTGGAGGAAGATACATAAGGAAATCTAAATTATAGTTTTGGTTTAGCATAGAATAAAATTGGGGGAATTGTGGCTGTAAACATGGTCTCCCAAAATTGATGGTTGTGACCTCTATAAAATTACTCTGATCACCTGTTTGCTACAGCTACAACCTCTTGTTCCTCTGAGGATATTCACATACTTAGCCACTCTATTAGAAAATTTACCTGGTAATGAAGAGATTTTTTATGGCCTTTTCTTTTTTGGATGCTGGCTAATACTGGGATCTAAACCTTTGACCTTGGTCTTACAAGGCAGCATTCTAACCAAATGAGCTCACTGGCCAGCCCAATGAACAGATTTTTTAACTTAATATAGGAGATGATAAAATTTACTTAGTATGACTAATATTTATTTAGAATTAATATGTGTCAGATACCTGCTAGGCTCTGGCGAAGGGGACATGGCCCCTGTCCTCAAGGAACTCTGTGTTGCAAGGGAGGTGGACACATAAATAAATAATGTAAAATGTGCTTTATAAAGGTATGTTTAAAGAACTGTGAGAGCCTGAAATGATGTTGAAAACTAATATTTCTGTCTGGGGAGTTGATGGAATTTATAGAATCCAGCTGGGCCTTGAAGGATGCTAGAAATTTGAAAGGCAGATGAAATAATGAAGGGCTTTCCTACCGGAAGGAACACAGACAAGAAGATGTGGAAGCAGGGTTAAATGTGAGTTCTAGAGATAGTTCAGTTAGAACATCAAGGAAAGTAGGTGGAGATGAAGCTGGAAAGGTAGACTGCTACCGGTTTAGATGAACTTCATATGCCTTGCACAAGAATTTTGATTTTATTTTGTAAGCAAGACATCAGAGCATTTTAAAAGAAAATTAGTTTATCTCAGTGGTTCAGAGGACAAAGATTATTGATAGAATCCCTATCAGTAATCCAACTGTAGTCCAGTAGACAAGTCAGGTTTTTGATGTACAATAGAATAGAACATAGGATGCAACATGGAAAGTAGCCTTTATTAAAGTTGTAAATTTATTATATTGTGTGAGTTATCAAAATGGATTATAACAGGTTTCATCAAATTTGTTATAAATTTGTATACTGTTAATGTAGAAACGAATTTTCTAACCCCTTTTATTCTCCTTTTAGTGAAGACACACATTGTAATTTTTTTCTTGTGTAACTATGATGTGAGAGGATATGGTTAACCTTACTTTAAAACTCCTCTTCAAGTTAAATGGTTATTAACAAAAAGTAGTTACTACTGATCTTACACCAAGTTAACTTTCCTTCTTAACACACTTGAATTACAGAAACATCAGGGTTTGGTTGTAACCAGCTTTGTTTGGTTGATGGTTGTGGAAATAGAGAAGAGTTCAGCCATAATAATTTCATTTTTATTTTATTATTATGTTTTTGGTGGTTGGCCAGTATGGGGATTGAACCGTGGACCTTCGTGTTATCAGCACCACACTCTAATCAACTGAGCTAACTGGCCAACCCATACCATGATAATTTTGAAAAGCATTTGTATTTACTGCGATGTATATAAGGTATTCTATAAAAAGAATAAAATGTTAAATGTGGTTTCTAGTTTCTGGTATAATAATATGAGACATCACTGGCGGAAAAAGCATATATGCATATAAACAAATATATCATTAACACTAAATAAAAATTCACTAATATAAAATTTGTGAACATGGAAGTTATATATTGAAATAGAGGAACTGAGGGAGTATTGTTGTCATCTCTTCTAATTATTGGTAGAATATTTTATGGCATTGGTGAGTTTTTGTAAGTTTTCTAAATAAAGGAAAAAAATGAAGATTGCAGAGCTATAGAGGAAAGACATTGTGGTCATAGGTACTCATTTACTCACTCAGTGAAAATTAAGGCCATATTATTTACCAGACATTGTAGTAGACCTTGGGGACACAGAATAAGAAGAAATAGTTCAGTAGGACAGCCATAGGTCATTACTCCAGTGTCTTGAATATAGACCCTGCTTCGACCTCTATCAGAGTTCCTGTCATTTCCTATATGTATTGTCAGGTAGTTTACAAGGGAAGAAATAGTAGAAAAACTAGTTGATCCTTATTTTTTAAAAAAATGCTAACTGGAAATTATCCTGGTTTTAGGCTCTAAAACAGAGAGAAGCAATCCTGAAACTCATCTTGAAAAATGAAAATGTAAGTAGTAAATTACAATTTTTCCACATCCTGTAAATAAATGTTTACGTTCATAAAGTCATTTAAGAGAGAAATGAAGAAGGAATATGAGAATAATGTAGCCTTGAGCTTGACCTAAATTACTGTAAAACTCTTGGTCACTCATGTAACTCAGTAACTATGGTATATTTGAACAAATTAAAAATAATTTAAGTTTTTAAAAAGTCGTGTGTTCTCGTATCTGTACATTAAAATGCTTTTTAATATTTTCAGAATGTTCTCCAGTTATATAAGATATATTTATTTTTGTACAGAAGTTTTGTTTGGGGGTTTGTTTTTTACTTAATTGCAATATATTTTTTTTTTGGCAGCTGGCCGGTAACAGGGATTGAACCCTGGACCTTGGTGTTATCACCACCATGCTCTAACTAACTGAGCTAACCGGCCAGCCCCTGCAATATTTTTTGAAGTTGGAATTTAGGCTTAAAAAGGTATGATAATTAAAATCTTATAGTTTTTGCGTTTAAGGTTTTATTTATTAATAGATAATAGAGTTACATGGTTCAAAAATTAAAATATATATTTTAAATGGTGTTCGGGAAGAAGTCTCCTCCCCTCCCCTGTATTTCTTCTGTATCCTTTGACATTGGCATTTTGCTTACACAAACAAGTTAGCATAAACTATTCTCTCTCCTTTTTATTTTTTTGCATAAACTATATTAATAAGCATGCATACTGTTGTGCATTGCTTTTTTCACTTATCTTTGAGATCGTTTCATATCGCATATTGTTTCCTTATTTTATTCTCTCTTTTTTCTTTTTCTTTTTTTTTGCACTTCATAGGATTTCCTTGTACAGGGATAATTCGTTTAATCGATGCCATATTGAAGGACATTTGGGTTGATTCTGTTCTTTTACTATTATAAAAATGCTACATTGAATAACCTTGTTTGTATGTCATTTCACACTTGTGCAGGGATATTAGTAGGATGAATTTTCTAGAAGAAGAATTGCTAGATCAAAGGGTAGGATATTTGTAATTTTGGTAGCTATTGCCAAATTGTCCATGTTAGTTTACTCATTTACTGGCAATGCTAGAGTGTCTCTTTCCCTATAGCCTTGCCAACAGAACATTATGGAATTTGTGCCAACATGATAGGTAGAAAAAAGTTATCTCATTAGAGTTTTCACTTGCATTCTTTAGGAATGAATGATTCTTCATATTTTTAAAAGATGTTTCAATATTTTTTCTCTGAAGTGTGTGTTTATATTCTTTGCCCATTTTTCTATTGCAGTATTCTTTTTCTTACGGATTTGTAAGAACTCTATTGGTATTACAAAGATTTGCCCTATGTATGATATGAAAATATTTTTTCAGTTTGTCTTTTGATTTGGGGGATTATTTTTTACCCCTTTTATGGCTTCTGGGATTTGAAACAAGTTAAAAAGGCATTTTCCACTCTCAAGTTTATAAAAGAATTTTCTGTATTTTCCAAGTTCTTGCTACTTGTTTTTCCAAAACTCTGTAACTGAATATATTTGGATAACGTGGTATTCCTCTCTATCCCAAACTTGAATATCTAAACTCCCTATTTGAACTCACTATATAAGCTAAGAAACCAAATGTATTTCTCACTATGGGAATCTCTGTATTTCTATGGTTTCCTTCCTTGAACCACCATCAATCCCATATTTAATTCTGTTCCATTCATACTTCCACACATCCCATGCTTTCCCATCATATCTTATCTGTAAATATTTTAGTTATATTTCTAAAAGAAGAGGATTCTTGTTTTAAACCTAACTTGATTTTGCCGTATTACACCTAATAAAAAGTTGACAGTAAGTCATTATTATCATGATCTCCTAAATGTCTTTTGTTTTTTTCATCATGTGTTTGACTCAGGATCCATATAAAGTTCATAATTTGTAATTGATAGTTTTTAAGTTTCTCTTAATATATAGGCTATAGGTTCTTCCTTCATCTTTCTTCATTTTTTTTCCCCCTTTGAAATTATTTATTGAAGAAACTAGGTTAGGTTTGTCCAGATTTTGCCACAATCCAAATTTTGCTGATTGCAGTAGGAATTAGTTATTTTCCTAAAATTGGTAGATGGGTCAAGAGACTGAATGAGATTCAGGTTCAGGTTGTCAGAGCGGGGAGATAGGACAGGAAAGCTTCTTAGGTAGAATTATATTCTTCCATCAGGAAACACATAATAATCTGGGTGGCTTTTATGGGTTTTTTTGTTGTTTGTTTGTTGGTGGCTGGCTGGTATAAGTGTACAAAGCTGTGACCTTGGTGTTATATGGCTGTGCTCTAACCAGCTGAGCTAACCAGCTAGCTGCTTTTATGTTTTAAATCTTTGATATATTTGGAATTTATCCAGGTAGATGATATGTAATATGAACCCAATTTTGCTTTTGTTTTTCTAGATGGACACCCAGTTGTTCCAGTATCATTTATCAAATAGGGCATCTTTTTCTCACTAGACATGCCACTTTTATCAAATTCTCATATGTATTGGCTGTGCCTGGACTTTGAATTTAGGTCGTTGGTCTTCTGTGTCTTTCTGTACTAGCACCACACTATTTTAATTATTGAACTTTGTAAGGTTTACTGTCTAGTAGCGCTAGACACCCCTTGCTGTCCCCTAGCCCAAAGGTTATTTTTACTCATTTTTCTGTGTGAATTTTAGAATCAATTTATTTCATATAGGAAAAAAATAACAGTATTTTTGGTGGATCGCCATTCAAGAGAATTAAGAGCTTTCTGATGTTGAATCTTTCTGCCAAAAAATTTATGACTTTCTGGTTGTTTAGGTCTTCCTTTGTAGCTTTCAGTAATGTTCTAGTGATTTATTTCTTTAAAATATATCAGAATAACATATACCGTATGCAAAAGTTTGAAGAACCTAACAAATTACAAAGATTAGATCATTGTTTATTAACCTTGAGGTAAAAGCTATGTAGCCTTTCTTAAGAAAACTATATATGTGCATGAAATATTTTTTGCAGTTTCAGGGAAATTTCTAAAATCCTTCATATATTCTAAGTAAAGAACTGTGGTCCTAGATGAGAAATCAGCAAACTACATTTTGTCTTTTAATTGAATATTTTGATAACTGCTTTAAAAAAAAAACATTGCGTAATTGTTTAAAAGTTAAAACACACAATTGGTAAACCTTTAACAAGGATAGGCATCAGTGAAAAGTTTAGAGAAGAAAACAAAAGGAATAGTTAACAAGTTCTTTTGAATTAGGATGGCTACAGAGTGGCTAGAAATTTAACATATTAGGAGATAGTTGCTGACAGTTTCACAAACTTCAAGTTCACCAATACAGTTATTTAATTAAAAAAAAATTAATGAAGGATTGTATTGTATAACTGGAAGTTTATAATGTTTCTTTGTTGTTGTTTTGGCTGGCCAGAATGGGGATCCAAACTCTTGACCTTGGTGTTAGCAGCACCGCACTCTAATCTGGAAGTTTATAACAATTTTGAATAACACATATGTTGATCTAGTGTAGATGCAGGTGATTTATGTATAGATGATAAATATAAACGATGAAATTTAAGCTCTTTGTCTCATAGGATAGCCATACTGTACACAAGCTATTAAGTTTTCTTTTGAAACTTAAGAAATTACTCATGATCTCAACATTCTGTTTTTTTTTTTTTTAACAGTGGTGTCTGGAAATTATATTTTTCATGGGTACAGGGAATTTTTAGCATTCCGTTTCTTATTCATGAAAGCAAAAAGGATTAGTCTCTAATCAGTTTTATGATGCAAAATATGAATGCTCTCTGGAAAACTGCTGACATGGGAACATCTCTTCTTATTAGCTGGTATTTATATGCTGAAGGCACATTGCTATTTCAATAAAAACTGAAAGAAATTTATTTTGTTAAAAGATGCCTCAAATCAGCACACACATTTATTTAATAAAATAAGCGCTATCATGCTTATACATTGCTGAGCAGAATAAGGGTTTTTTTGGATACAAATAAACTACTAGACTATTATGAATTTTTCTTCTCTGAAGAAGACTGAAGTTTTTAAAAAGATACTGTGTTCCACCCTTTTACAATTCTTTATTGATAGGTAGTCCTTAACATGATTTGCTTATTTTAAAAAGATTGTATGTGATTTGGGCTTGAAGTTTTAAGTATGAGTAGAATAGGCACTAATAAGATTTATACCCTATGAAAATATCATGTCTGACTCTGGAAGTAAGTATGTAGCTTTTCCCCCCCTATACTAACTTACCTGAATTTATATATTTTATATAACATAGCAGGAATAATTAATAGATAATGGGCTTTGTAGACAGATCTGATGAGGGTCTCCCACATGCTGACTTGACCATTCCTTGCTGTGTGACCTTGAGTAAATATTGTTTAGTATCTCCGTGTCTCATTTTTCTCACTTGGAAATTGGATGCCAACAATCTCATAGAATCCTTTTGTGAATTTAAATAAAATTATATCACCCTCGTTAGACTGGCTATTATAAAAAAGAAAGACTAACAAATGCTGGCAAGGATGTGGAGAAAAGGGAACCCCTCTACACTGTTGGTGGAACTGTAAAATAGTACAGTTATTATGGAAAACAGTGTGGAGGTTTCGCAAACTGCAGATAGAACGTATGATCCAGCAATCCCACTACTGGGTATATACTCAAAGGAATGGAAATCATCATCTTGTCAAAGGGATACCTGCACTCCCATGTTCATCACAGCTCTGTTTACAGTAGGCAAGATATGGAACCAACCTAAATGTCCATTGACAAATGACTGGATAAGGAAAATGGAATACTAATATTACCTACTATTAACTCAGTTTTACGTTGAGGTTCCCTCTTTGTAATGTATAGTTCTGTGGGTTTTGCCAAATGCATAATGTCATGTATTCACCATTAGAGTATCATACAGAATAGGTTTGCCGCCCTAAGAATCCTTTGTACTCCAGCTATTCATCCCTGACAACCAGTGATTTTTTTCCCCCCATTACCTCAAACATTTATCATTTCTTTGTGCTGGGAGCATTCAAAAATCCTCTCTTCTAGCTAATTGAAAGTATACAATAAATTGTTGTTAATTATAGTCACCCTTCAATGCTATGGAACACTAGATATTATTCCTCCTGTCTTTCTGTAATTTTGTACCCATTAACCAATCTCTCACTGTCTCTCCTCCCTCCTTCCCTTTCCAGCCTCTGATAGCTGCCTTTTTACTCTACTTCTATGTGATCAACTTTCTTACCTTCCACACATGAGGGAGAACATGCAGTATTTCTCTTTCTCCTCCTGGCTTACTTCACTTAATATAATGTCCTCCAAGCTCATCCATGTTTCCACAAATGACAGGATTTCATTCTTTTTTATGGCTGAATAGTAGTCCACTGTGTATATATTCCACATTTTTGTTACCTGTTCATCTGTTGATGAACATGTAGTTCAGTTCCAAATTTTGACTGTTGTGAATAGAGCTGCAGTAAACGTTGGAGTGCAGGTATTCCTTTGACCTGTTGATTTCTTTTCCTTGGATATATACCCAGTGATGGGATTGCTGAATTGTATGGTAGTTCTGTCTATAGCTGTTTGAGAAACACTCAGACTGTATTCCATAATGGCTATACTAATTTACATTCCCACCAACAATGCTGACGAGTTCTCCTTTCTCTGTATCTTCACCAGCATTTGCTATTTTCTATCTTTTTAGTAATAGCCATTTTAACTAGAATGAGATGGTACCTCAGTATGGTTTTGATTTGCATTTCCCTGATGATTAGTTATGTTGAGCATTTTTTTCATATGCTTGTTGGCCAGTAGTATGTCTTTTGAGAAATGTCTGCCCAGGTCATTTGCCCATTTTTTTAAATAGGATTTTTTTTTTTTTTTTTTGCTGTTGAAGCATTTTAGTTCCTTCTTTATTCTGCATATTAATCCCTAGTCAGATGCATAGTTTGCAAATGTTTTCTCCCATTCTGCAGGTTGTCTCTTCACTATATGGATTGTTTCCTTTGCTGTGCAGAAGCTTTTTAGTTTAATGTAATTCCATTTGTTTATTTTTGCTTCTGTTGCCTATGCTTTTGAAGTCCTCTTCATAAAGTCTTCGCCCAGCCCAAGTGTTCTGAAGCATTTTACCTGTGTTTTCCTCTAGTAGTTTCATGGCTTCAGGTCTTACATTTAAGTCTTTAATCCATTTTGAGTGGATTTTTGTATATGGTGAGAGAAAGGGGTCTAGTTTCAATCTGCTGCATGTGGATATCCAGTTTTCCCAGCATTATTTATTGAAGAGGCTGTCCTACCCCAATGAATATTCTTGGAGCCTTTGTCAAAAATCAGTTGGCTATAAATACATGGCTTTATTTCTGCATTCTCTCTCTGTTCCACTGGTCTGTGTGTCTGTTTTTATGTCAGTGCCATGCGGTTTGCTTACTATAGTTTTGTAGTATATTTTGAAGTCAGGTAGTGTGATGCCTTCAACTTTGTTCTTTTTGCTCAGGGTTGCTCTGGCTATTCAGGGTCTTTTGTCATTCTATATGAATTTTAGAATTTTTTTTTTCTATTTCTATAAAGAATCTCATTGGTATTTTGATAGGGATTTCATTGAATCTGTAGATCAGTTTTGGTAGTGTGGTCATTTTCACAATATTAGCTCATCCAATCCATGAACATGGGGTGTCTTTCCATTTCTTTGTGTCCTCTTCAATTTTTTCATTAGTTAAAATACTAATGAAGAGATGTACAATTTCATTGTAGTAATGTACAATTTCATTATAGAGATCTCTCACCTCCTTGGTTAAATCAATTACTAGGTTCTGTGTGTGTGTGTGTGTGTGTGTGTGTGTGTGTGTGTGTGTGTGTGTGTGTGTGTCTATTGTAATGGATTGCTTTATTGATTTCTTTTTCATCTTGCTTGTTATTGGTGTATAGAAACGTTAGTGATTTCTGTATGTTGATTTTGTATCCTGCAACTTTTATCAGTTCTACAAGTTCTTTGGTGGAACTTTTAGGGTTTTCTATATAAATGAAGGTACTTCAGAAAGTTCATGGAAAGATTCATATTATGTTTCAATTCTATTTTTCCCACAAACTTTTGGAATTACCTTTGTCTTACCATGTTGATTGCAGACAGGGACAATTTGACTTCCTCCTTTCCAATTTGGATGCCGATTATTTCTTCTCTTGCCTAATTGCTTTGGCTAGGATTATTCCTGTATTCATTATGCCCTTTTTCTCCCTTTCTCTACTAGTTTGGAAGTTACACGTTCTCTTTCTATTCTTTAGTGGTACCTTTAAAATTTTTTGACATATATACATAAAGTCTAAGTTAATAGTAACTGTGTCTGTGCCCTCTTTCCAATACTATAATTGTAAGACCTTAGAAAGCCTTAATAGAGATGTCCTGTCTTACTTGTTCTTATTGTCTAGCATTTTAGTTTCACTTTGTTTCTGTATCAAAAATTAAATGATGACTACTACTATTTGTATAACTAAATCTTGTTCAGATTTATGTTTGCCATTTTCTTTGCTTATCATTGCAGCTTGCACCACTGCTACCTTATGGGTTCAGTTTTCTTTTTATCAAAATGTATGATTTCTCTTCACTTAACCCCCACATTTAGGAATAAGAGCACTGTCATTTGAGGTCACAGTTGCAGAGCTAGCAATGGACCCCGTGATGTCTCACCTCCAAGTCACCTGTCCTTGTGTGAAGTTGCTTTTTCACTTAAACACTGAGCCTTACACAAATACAAATGGGAATTTAGTAACTAACAATGGTGGTATTGCAAATCAATGAGGGAAAGTAAATGTTGTTACTACAAGTGGTTAGCTATATGGGGGAAAAATACAGCTGGACCTCTACTATATTTATTCAAATCCTAACTCTGTGACTTGTTAACCTTTCCTTGTCTCTCAATTCTTACCTGAAAGTGAAAATGATAATGCATACCTGACAGAATTAAATGAGAGAAAAAGATAAGAAAAAAAAAATTTTTTTTAAGAATTAAATGAGAATAATACATGTAAAGTGCTTAGCACAGTAAATGAGACGTAAGAATCACTTAATGAAAAATAGATGGTAGTCATAAATTTTTTTCTTGCTCATTTTCTCTTCTTAATCTGCACATTAGTATGATGATTACATTCTCCCAATCCTGTTATGGGATAGGACAGTCACTTAAATGGCTTGACTATAAGCTTAGGTTGGGGAATAAAACTATAGGTGCTGAATTAGTGTTGAGGTAGTAAAATACCAAAGCATTACAGTTAAAAGGAATGTTAAGTGAAGTATTTTCTATAATGGACTATGGACTTAATGATGCTGGCTATTTGCCAAATATGTTGAATATATTAAAGTGTCAGCTTGGTACCTTCTTGAGACGCACCAAGATGAATCCAGCAGTGTTTGAATGCCTTTTCTTCCCCACCAATTCACAAGGTATCTAGTAAGACTTATTTCTGTCTTGGTCTTAAAGACAAATAATGAAAAATTTCTGATATTTTATGGTTAAAAAAAAACTTCTAGAAACTGAAAATACTTTTTAATGTTTCTCCTTCCATGCTGTGACAGTACGCTTAACTTTCTTTAACTCTAAGACTGATGGTTGGAAGTGTCCTTTGCAGCGTATTTTATATTTGTTTTGAAGCATGTTTTATATTTGTTTAAGGTGGATAGACATGTAGACCTGCTAGAAGTTGCCCAGGAAACTGATGGGTTTTCAGGAAGTGACCTAAAAGAGATGTGTCGAGATGCCGCCCTCCTCTGTGTCAGGGAATATGTTAATTCTACATCAGAAGAAAGGTATGTGTGCTTAGAATTAATTTCTAATATTTGCCAAAACATTTTAGAGCTTTTAGGTTAGTTTCTTTTATTTTGCTTTATAATAGCAACCACACTTAAGGTAAATTTGAATTAGCAACCCCCCCCAACTTTATTTACTTTTATTTTTTCTAAAGGGGAATTCTGAAAATGAATGGGGGAGGGATTGTGGGAAGGATCTAGACTAAAGGGGAAAAAGGCTGAATTTCTACTGATAATCTTTGGAATGGGTCACAGGAAGCTTATAGAAACCTAGGCTTGCTTATCTCTGTTAGGAAAACAGGGCTCTTTAGCACCCCTAGATTGCTTCTGCATCCTAAGTTCTGTTTTATGTTGAAATGTGTGCCTTGTCTTCCAGAAATTTCACATGAAAATGTGGGAGGGAGTGTGGGGGTGCCGAAGACTAGGCTTCGGCTTGTTGACAATAATGTATTTACTAAACAAAGAAACCATTTGTCACTGCAGCGAATTTTACTTGAAACTAGTTTCAAAGTATAGTGAGCTTGAGAAACCAAATTTGTACCAGCCTTATTCCAGCAAAGATACTAGTGAACTGGAATAATTCAGACCTGATGAACCATGTCCTTGGAGATTTCCCAAAAGGCCACTTGCTCTGGACCAGTATTTCTTTTCAAAATGTCAACCTTCTAATGAAGAATTTCTGTGACTCTTAGTAAACCAGGGTACTTGAGGGGGTTGTGTTGAATGAGGTGTCCAACTCTTGCCCCATTGTTTCTTGGTCTCCCATCCTCAACTCTCTGGAGTTATCACTCCAAGTGACCCTGATTTGTCTATGATATTCACGTATTTAATTACAGTGTGTTGCTGTAGCAAGCTTCACCCCCCAAAAATGTGGTTTTTTCGTATGGAAAGGTATGCATGAAAGCTACCCTGTCAACCAGTAGCTATGTTGTGCACTGGTTCTGGACCCATTGTTAGTGCTCCTTCAGGCTCCATCATGGAGAGGTTCGCTCGATTTATTTGTTGCCAGGTTAATCTAGTTACTTTAGCAAGTTGGGAAAACTTTTGAGCTCGGTAGCCAAGAATCTACCCTCCAAAGATTTTTATTCTTGTATATAAGATTAAGAGGAAAAGTAACAAACCTATAAATAAATTTTGCTTAAGTAAATTATATTAATAATGAAAGACCTGTTTTTCTGCTGCCTCAAAGCTCTGAAATTTTTACATTTCAATGTGAAAAACCTGGCTAATTTAATATTTCATATTGAATTTCATATTTTGTTATTTTTAAGTAAATTATATTAATAATGAAAGACCTGTTTTTCTGCTGCCTCAAAGCTCTGAAATTTTTATATTTCAATGTGAAAAACCTGGCTAATTTAATATTTCATATTGAATTTCATATTTTGTTATTTTATATTTCAATATGAAAAATCTGAATAGACTTGGGTTATCATAACTTTTTCCATGAATGTTTTTCTCTGAGTGTCTGTAAATTACAAAGTATGTATAATGTACTGGATTTTGTTTTTCTTGTTATTAAAGTGGGGAGGACTTGGATTAATTTTTTTTAATCGATAACAAAAAATTTTACTTTCAGTCCCTAAAAAGCTAAATGTGGACATGAGTATATACCTAGGAATGCTGCTTTTTAATTCCACTTTTCATGGGAATAACTTAATTTCTTGATTGGATTATGTTCCCATTTGGATAAACTGACACACCTTTATACAACATTTTTAACTTTATGGTTATATTTTGTACTTATGTTCTTGGTGCGAAGTATTTGATTTTAGCCAACCATTTTAGCTTCCTACCTTTTAGCAGTCAGTATTTTTAAAAAGTCTCTTATGACTTGTATATGCATAGATAAGGGAGCCTTGGGGCAGGCCCTGTTTAAGCCTTTTTAAGTTGAGTGTTTCTCTGCAGTTGATTAATTGGATCATCCACATCACTTATGCATGTGACTCAGTTATTATGGTTGTCAGCCTAATCAGACATAAGTACTTGTTCAGTGATCAGCATTGAATGGTTGTTAGGCAGTCATGTGATCAACACTGATTTCACCTCTTTTCTGCAGTCACACTGTGTAGACATTTTTCTGAATTTTAAATTGATTCACATGAAGATGAACACTTTTCAAAAGAGTAGGTGTGGAAAACCTCAGTGCCCTTCAGTACATGTACATGACTTTCCTTTCTTTGTTTAATGTAATAGATAGTTCTGTAACCATGTTTTTTTAATGTTATTTTAAAGTTATATGTTCTTTAATTATGGTCAAATATAATTTGGTCACCAAAAATAAAATGATAGTTTAAAGCAAGTAGTTGCTACTAAATGTGCTAAAAATACTCATTTTGTAACTTTGATTTTTTAAGTTTTCTTGGCATATTATAAATTGTGCCCTAGTTAAGTACAAGTATACATGTCAGAATTCCCATTTTGTGTCTGTACTCATTTGATGGTATTGTGTAAACTACATATGAAACATTTTTTTGTTCAGAATTCCACTAACCAGAATTCTGTTACAGTACCTAAAATAGTATGAGGAAAATGGCACAACCAATTTTGAGGTGCCTTCTGAGTCATCAGAAAGGTTAAATTATGCTTTATATGTTTCTGTTTTTATTGTATTTCTTTGAAAACTCTCAATCTTTATTCATGAGTTACTGGATTAATTTAATTTCTCTGGATTAATGATAATGTCTCTCATGAGAACCTATTGGATGGTTTATTCTTCACTTGTACTTTGAGTGGTGGGGTAGAAGTTGCTGGAGAACATTTATACAACAAAAAGCAAGTTATGAAAGATTATGAAGATGATAGAAAATTGAACGCAAAATACAAGATACCAAAAATAAAAAATTTAATCCCATTTTTAATAACTATGTTATATTATTATTTTTTAAATGTATAATAAAGGGGTTCCTGTTTATTGGTTTTTCTTCACTTAATTCTTGTTTTTTTCAGTTATTTTAAATTTTCTGGTTTTTTGTTTTTTTTTTTTTTTTCTGGTTTATGAAACTTGTGCTTGGACTGTTTTTATCTTGCTATGGAGCTTTCACACTTTTATAGCATAGGATTCTATCTAATCATTCTGTTTTAATGTGAGTTTCAGTAATCATTTAATTTTAATCTGATAGCATATTGATTGAAAATAAGGGGTGGTGTATCCTTCCTCATATCCAGAAGATTTTTAGCAGAAATTGGTGAATAATGTTGCTTTTATTCCTGCATTGGATTAAATGAACTCCAACTGTTTAAATTGCCCATTAAAGATTCAGAGTCCTGGAAGTCAGTGTGCAAAACCAGGTCAAAAATCACCCCTAACAGACTTGAGCTTTGAGAGAAGGACCTTCCAGGAACTCCTTTGGCTTAAGTGGTTTGAGACAAAGTGTCTCAACTGGTCAAGACTAAACGCACAAGGAGAGAGGTGATTCATTCAAAGGAAATTATATCGTGGGAAGGGTGCTCGACAAACAAAAAATGACAAATTGCCAGCTGGTCACAGGAAGCCATAGATATATGCTAAATGGAGGACACTGTTAGGCACTGTTGGGCCTGCTGGACGTATAAACAACATGCATATGCAGTTCGTGTGGACAAGCCTTGGAGGGCCGTTTGGTCTTGTAAGTTCCACTTCCGTTTGATGGAGTGACACTTGAAAACACTGTTAGGCACTGTTGGGCCTGCTGGACGTATAAACAACATGCATATGCAGTTCGTGTGGACGAGCCTTGGAGGGCCGTTTGGTCTTGTAAGTTCCACTTCCGTTTGATGGAGTGACACTTGAAATGCCAAATTCTGCCTAAATGGATGACTTTTTAACTTGTAATTTTTAAAAAATTTTGTTCCAGATAGTGGGTGTAAAAGAACAGTGGAGACTGAAGTGTAACAATTGTTTTTTATTTGTTTTATTTCCAGGGAGTGTGAGCCCTTTCCTCTGATAGACAAGGCGAAGGTCTGTTCATTCCTGTTTTCCTAGAGTCTGGTTATGCTGGGTCTGGGCTGTAGCTTTAATTAGGCTGAGGTGACTGGGTTTAGCCCACCCCCTACCTACCCATGCAGTAGCCTTTTAATCTTGGTATTTGAGCTGGGAGGGATTTGGGTAACCGGTTCAGATGTTTATGGTTCTCCATAATTCTGTGAATTATGAATAATTGTATTCAGTTCTGACAGGATTCTGGAATCCAGTCACCTTGTGCATGTGGAAGACTCCAGCCCCTCTTTTGCCATTTTCTTGGCAAAATCCAGGAAAGGGAGATTGTGTAGCCTAGCAGTTTGCTTTCACAGGTGGTGGTTTCTGCCATTATCTGACCAAATGATTTACGTATGCCTTTCCAGGATTTTTTCACACTGCCCTGAACAGTTTGGCGCACTCCCTCAGCACCACTTACCTCTCCACATATTTACACACACATTTCCTGCCCTATTTGTCCTACTTATTGGCACTAGGAGCCACCAAGTGAGACCTGGGGAGAAAGAAGGAGCAGCTACAAATGACAGCTTTGAGTTGGCTATTACACCAGTTTTATTTGGGGTGAGGATCAGTACCAAAAAGTCACAGGAAGTCTTTTGGATAGAAGGGAAACAGAGACTCAAGGAGAAAAGAACAAAGCAAAACTGCAGGCCTGAAGGCCACTGAAAGTATGGGTAGAAACAGGTCTCCTTTCTTTCTGCACACAGAAGTAGCAACTGCTGAGGTTAGTGGAGGTGTGGGGGTTGCCTAGGAAAAAAACCCCAACTGCTTCCAACCCTGCAAGTAAAACTCCTTGAGGGCATTTTGAGGACAAGATCTGTACCTTTGAGAAAAAGGTAGCAAGGAGTAAGGTAGTTTCATGTCCTCAGATGGTGGGCGGGGGAGGTCAGATCCTTCTGCAGTGAAATTCTGGGCTGATGCCTCTGAGCAACCCAGCAACCACTGAAAATATCACTGTTAAGTCCTTGGCTGAGACTAGGTGTCATTCCCATCTAGAGCACAGTTTAGAAAATGACATGAACGAGGGCAAACTCTCTTAATTATGGGCTTAAAGAGAGTTGCTGCTGCTGTCTCTCTCCAATTATACAAAGTCACAAAGCCCTCAGCAGTCATGTAGTTAACCCATTCCCAGTGTTACAGGGCAGAAAAGACTCAGCCTTCATTTTGAGAAATTTATTAAAATAAGAACAAGCATCAGCTATACATAGAAATAGCCATTTGCACTAAGTGTGGTACTAGAGCAGAAGAACGGTTTTAAATATATTTTTTAAAATCACAAAATACATTTGGTTAAGGCACTACATCTTTTCTCAAGTTTTCAATAAATATGCTATTTTTTTAAAAAGTAGTAGTGAATACCTCTCTGATTAAATGAGTATAGGCACCACACCATTAAAGACAAACTTTGCTGTGACCATTGTGTGTAATTTATTCTCAAAAAAACTTTTATTAGCTAAGATCAGCATTTTTTAAAAAAATATGAAAAAAAAAATCACAGTTTTCTCTTTCCAGTTTAGGTCTCTTCCAGAGAGACCTATTTTGTATAAAAGGTTATTTTTTCATATATTCCTTGCAACAGTGAATTATGCATAAAGTACAAAAGATCACCTCTCAGGAAATAAAGCCGTGAGAGGATGTCTCAAAACAGCTTGAGTCTTTGGAAAAGATCCTTCAACAGCAAATAGTTAGAGTTTAGAAAACTCTGGACCTTTTTGGATCCCAGAAGGCTGCTTTGTAACAGCACCCTCTGTTTAAGAAGGTTTGTTAAGCAGCTGAGGGGAATCAGACCCAGCTCCTGTGTTATCTGGTATAGATAGAGCACCAGACTGGGAGTCAAGTGGCCTGAGCACTCATTCAGTGTCACCAGTCCTTCCTAACAATGCCAGTTTTGCGCTTTCGTTTCAGTGCTCAGCAGCTCAAGAAGCATGTATATGTGCAGTAACTCAGTTTGTTCAGCTGTAAGATGAAAGGTTTGAATTCAGTGTTTTCTGTGGTCTTTTCCAGTTCTAGCACCTTGTTAGTCTGATTGTGTGGATTATTTTTGGGTGCAGCTGCTGCTGCGCTTTCAGATAGGCCTAGCCTCTGTGTAGGACACAATGACCACAGCAAAAAGGGAAAAAATTAATTTTCCGCAACATTGCCAGATTGACCACTTGGTGCAAATCCTTTCGTCAAAGCACTCTACACTTCAAAATTGCTATTTAACTGGAGTTATAGTATTCACAGAAAGCCATTAAGGCTTTTCTTCTTATTAGATTATATAACTTTCATGGCAGAAATAGGTTGCATAGATTTCTAAGATTAAATTCACATTATCACACATTTGGTTTCTCTAGTCAGGTTTTCAACACAAAATATTGGGTAGTAAGGCTATATAACAGGCATGAGGTAAAATATTAGCAAGAATCTTAATGTGAGCCAAACCTTATTTAGTGTGAGAAACTTTTTGGGTGGGGGGGGGGGGATCAGTTGAACAGAAGAGGCTGTTCATCTGAATTTTATTACTGGTATATGGCATTGGGAGAGTGCAGGTTGGCAAGACAAGCTAAAAAATAAGCCTCACTTTTTGGCAAGTTATACACATGGTCAAAGCTTTAAAAAATCTGGGACCTACCTGCTCAGATGCAGTAGGGCATACAGCTAATTTTCTGAAATGTACAATATTGCTTTCACATACTAAGATTTACTTTTCATTCTATGTATATATATTGAAGTTGACTTTATAGACACAATTTTTTACCTCATAAAATATTAACTTTAAAATCAGTCATTGAGAAGAAATTGAATACAAAGTATTTAGTCACAAAAATAGAAAAAGTAATGAAAGAGCACTTCAGAAAGAAACTCCATAGCCAAAGGGAATTTAGTTGTTCTTCTCCAGAGACTTGTAATAATCTGTCAGGACTTTCCAAGCTTTGGGGGCCATGAAGCCATCTGGGGGATTTTCTCCTTCCCGGGCGAGCTTCCTCATACGAGTTCCTGAGATGAAGTCAAACTCATTGTGCCTGTCACAGGGTAGCAACAAAGAACTCAGCGTAGGTAAATAACATCTGCTTTAAAGACTGCTGGAATAGGTTATGGATTCTTAGACCCCCATTTTTTCTTTCTGTAAAATGCTGCATCTTTGAAAGTGAGCCCTTCACTAAATCTTCAGTTGAGGAACTTGCAGAAGAAAAGGGTAATAATGGCAGCTAGCCACTCAATATTCACTGTGCACCTAGTCTGTTCATGGGGAGTGTCTTGAGGCTGGAAACTGTCTTCTATTTCTCTGTCTACTTCTGTGAGCTCTCAGCATGGGGAGTGAATGCATCATAAATACTCATTGAAATCTTTTTCCACGCTACTTCCTTTCACTTAATGTGCAGGCACTTGGTGCATGCTCAAGGCATGCATGTTGAGAGAGAAATATTTATGGACCATCTACTATATGCAAAGGTCTGTGCTACAACTCTAGGGGACACAAAATGGGTAAAACCAGGTTTTGACTCTCAAGGGATTCTCATGCCAATTGGGAGCATGCAGAAATGCACTGGAGAGTTTTCCAAAGAGCCAAAGTTTTGCCTTATCATTCCAGTTGTGCATATGTTGATTAAAGAATTTTCCTTTGAAAACCTACCTTGCTGGATCGTAGAAGTCCATGGCTTTTTTGGCTTTGTTGTAGGCAGCCACTCGGAATGGAATGATTTCCACAGAGGTGAGACCAGGGGCCATGCTCAAGACCTTGCCCCCATGAGTGGGTTCATAGAGGTCCTTCTTGGTCTCAGGGTGGGGCATTCCTGCAGGGTCCCTGCCCACAATGTAGAAATTGGCCCCCGCAATCATCCGGGACCTGCAGTGCCACTGAACCTAGGAAATGACACATAAGAGACATAATGGTCATACGAGCCAACTCTAGGAGTCTCTATTTATGGAGACACCTTTATTCTGCTTTAAAAGTAATTCAGTGATTTGGGTCAACTAAAAGTTGTAAGAAAGTTAGTGAGGTTCTAAGACACCGTGCTCTTCCTTTCATGTTTGGTTATATCGGGTAGGAGAACTTTAAAGATAACAAATCCTGCCTCTTAGAACTCGAGGTTCTATTTCTTCATCTCTAAACCGGCTAGCAGACCAGGAACACTCAGATCTTACTGTTCTACACAACTATATGAATTTACTTTCCAGTCCCTTCCTGTTCAGAATAAATCATAGTTTAAAGGAATTTACAAACTCCTACATCTGACTGCCAATAATGAGCTCATTACCTTTAAATACAAACATTGTTTCCAGTTTAACACAGCACTTGCCCTCTTTAAAGCTCAGAAATACAAGGAATGGAGAGGAGAGCAGGGGCCTAGAACTTTGATCTGATAGAAGGGAATTAATTTATTAAACTCAGTTTGAGGCATACCAAAGGGCAGCGACCCTTTCAGTTCATCACACTTCCCACAAACTCATTCAAATTCACTACCCTGGTGGTACAATGGGACAAAGAAAATCTGTTTGATAGGCTCACTGTGTTATGATAAAAGGGAGACATTTCTCTTTTAAAGACGTCCTCTCCCTTCTAATGATGCTCACAGGGCATGGTGAATCACTTAGAGTAACTGGAACTTCTGAAATTGAATATTAGGTTAGATACACCTTGCCCTGTAATATAACCCAGTTAAGCTTCATTATCTACCTCATTCACATGCCAGCCTCCATATTCTCAAAGGCAGTGTATAATAGGTTTGAATTGATGTTTCCAGCATTTTTACAAATACTAAATGGAAACATAATTAAGTTGGATAAAGAAGAGACACCACGAGATTCCAGAGTCTGCTCACAAGGAAGAAGGAGCCTCATTTACTCTTCTGAGTAAGTTTGAGCCTGCACTCCTGAGTCCCACAGTCCAGCTCAGGGA